AGAGAGAGAGAGAGAGAGAGAGAGAGAAACTGTTGAATCTTTAGTACAGCTGCAATGCTGCAAATGGACACATTTTCAAAAGCATCATGGAAAGTTAAAGAGGTAAAACAGTAGTAGATCTCCTTCTTTCCTTTATCTGCTTTTAAATGAAAATTTAATTATTCACCTTGTTTATGGACATATTAAAACAAATCTTGGGAAATGATTCATCCAGCTATTGACAGCAGGCAAATTATGAGAAACAGTCACACTTGCTGGGGTGTGACAAAATGAAGTTTTTAAATATTTAGAACCTCAGCTGGGGGAAAGAAAAAGAGAGACTCTTAAAAAGAAAAAGGATAAAGGCAAGACACAACAGGGGAACAAGTGAGAATATCTGTGTCATCGTGTCAATTGGATGGAGCTAGCAAGTATCTTATTATCTCAAAGAAGCACAAATACAATAAAACAAAAAGTTTTATAATCTGAGAAAATCACCACAATTGAGGATGAAAGGGGAAACTAAAGATTTAACTCAATAGTGCTGGTTTGGCCATAAAGCCATGTTAGCTTACAAATCTCTGTCATTTAAACTCAATTTCACATAGTTATACAAATATGACAGATAGACTGACAGACAATTTCCCATTTCAAAACAAGTTTTTTATGAACAGCAACATTCCTACCACTGTGATGGGTACCCTCTTTAATTAGGGATTGATTTCTAATACTAAGATGTGAAAATGTTGGGATTTATCAGGGATTTATCATTCCCTAGTCCAGTGTTTCTCAACCTTGCTCACCAGCTTGCTGGCTGGGGAATTCTGAGAACTGAAATCTATACAACTTAAAGTTGATATACACTGCTCCAGCCTAGAATTATGTGCCATACAATAGTCAACAGAGTCATTGAGGACACTCAAACCATGGACTGGAGGATGGTCTTTTGCTATTGATCCCTAGCACCTCATGCCTAAGGAATAGATGTTGTGATTAGGAACCACTACAGCAGTCAGGTTTAGCTATTAGTGATAGCCCCATTCTCTATCAATGTCTATGGAGGTTCTCAGTCATCCAGGTTATGAAGAAGCTTCTTGGATGAGAAGTGAAATGTCTTCAAAGAAAAACCAGAAAGTCCAGTTGCCTCTTGGAACAGCACATTTGGGACATCCTCTATCAATTTATCTAGTCCAAGTTTAAAGTGATCATCTAAGCTGGCTACGATCATTACACTGAATGAGAGCAATAAATGCTAAGAGTTATGCTCTTTTTTAAAAAAAAATACTAACTCATACAGCAATGACATATATCCATGCACATATATGAATAATTTTATGAGTATATATCTGAGCACCATGATTGATCCAGGATTGTATGTCTACAAATATTTGTTATAAAATCATAGCATGGACAGAAACTGGCATGCCTATGGACAAAGGTCTGGGCTACCGTGTGATCTTGGAGATTAGTTTTTTTGAATTATTTTCAAAATAAAGGATGCATAAATATTTATAAAATTGTAAGGAATGCTTTTTGCATCTTCTTAATAAAACTTATCTGAACATACTTGCCTCACAGGGAGAATTCTTCATTGGAGCTGGAAATACAGCACTAGTTACCATAACTGTCTCTGCAATGGGACTCTCACTGGTGTTAAGCAACAGGGCACATTCTGCAGAGAAAAAGGAACAAAAGATACATACATTTTTAGAGTGAAATTAATTAATGTTTTCATGGAACAGTTGTATAGCAATAAAATCTGCTAGGGTCTCTGTGTTGCAAGAGCTTTGGAATAACCCTTCATGTGAAACTGCACATGCAAATCATGGGTGGTTTTATATTATGCTAGACATTTTCAACATTCTTTAGATAAAATAATGCAATTTCATTTATTTTTTCAAGATCTCTCTTTCAATCACATATAATGTATAGCCTTGTGATTTGTATTGAAAAGCATCATTTTTATGAGAATGAATGAATCATAAAATGAACTACTTTTACTATAAATGAGAAAGAAATGCTATTTCACTAAAGCTAGAAGCTGAGGGTCATTTATATGTTTATAAAGCATTCTTTCTCAACAGAGTAGATTCAAGTTCTGTTAAATTTCAGTTAATTGGTAGGGTGGATTATGATAAGATGAGGAGCATCTCCCCATGCGCGTGCACCCTCCCCGCCCTGCCACAACCACTGGTTTCAAGAGAAGGAGGACGAGGAGGAGGAGAAGTGTCGCCCGAAGGGACGCTTCCACCGCAGTCTGGCAATCGTTGTTCAGCCAGTCTGGATTCCAAAAAGAAGAAATGAAAGAAGTAGTGAAGAGCGCCAAGGAGAGCTTGCTGGCTTGGCCATAGTCTAGCATATCTGGAGGGTACCTGGTTGGGAGAAACCACTAAAAGAATAGTAATTCAATGCTCTCCGTTATTGAATGTTGTAAATAAACATTTTTTAATCATCCAGTTATTTAATATCATTGACTAGTTTTAAAAAGTACAAGTAGACTTTGAATTACAATTATAATGGAGTTGGTTTGAGACTTTCTTGGGTAACTATGTGACTGGGTTGGGTGGGAGAGCTAGATTATAAAGGCAAATTACTACAGGGTGCTGTAGCAGCCATAACCTTGAAACTGGGTGGTAAGTAGCTTTTGGGGATGTCTATCATAACTTTGAACAATCACTGTATGACCCGTCAAAAGTTGAGGATACCTGTAGTGACATCTTTGATCTCAATTTTTGAAGATTGCATCTACTGTATTCAGTTTTCCTTGCAAGTTACAGAAATGGCTCACTTTCATCTTAGTTCTTTTGTTTTTTTTTAGAGTTCCCCATCTGGAATAGTCCTGAAATTCCCAACTAATGCCTTCTCCAAGTTCTGGCCAGGACCAAGACAGTTTAGTTTTAGCAATCCAGTTGATAAGGCATTGCTTCTGATGATGTACATCATTAATAACCAGATTAAGAGTTTCCAATCTACCAATGTTACTAATCTTAACCAAATTGATTTTCTATGAGTCTTATTAGGTTTTTTTTAAACCAGATATTTCTGTTGCATATGGACTCTGTGTCAGAAAATATTTTCTGGTTTCTCACAAAATATTCTTCTTGTTGTAAAAACAACAACAAAAACCCTCCAACTATCATAATAAATGATAATGGCTGAAAAAATGAAGAACTCCCGTTGCTAACCTAATTCCACTGACATACCACTTAGTTTACCCAGTTGTATAACATTACTGTAATCTACCTTTCAGTGAACAAAAGTGATGATATTCTGGATTCCCAATATGCCATAGTTGGGCCTTTGATGAAGTTGATGAGCTTTGAGTCCAGCCACACTCTCCATCCTCAAAGGAGCAATAGAAACCAGTAGGAAGGTTTTCTGTATGGGGAAGAATGGCAAGAGACAGAGAACCGATCAATAATTCCTAAGAACAAAGTAGAAAGTATATCCAGTATTTGCTTTTCAATACTCTGCCTTTTTTATTTGGTTCTTGCAACAAAAAGGACCACTTTCTCTGTATAAATTACTAAAACTCTTGTGTCCAAACTTGAAATTGGGCAAAATGCTGCAAGACTCTGTCAACAGATTTGCCTCAAATGGACTAACTTACAAAATGCTGGGGCCCATTACTCAAAAAGAAATGAAATTGGGAAAATTGTTTGCCACTTCAGCACCACTGTGCTGCTGCTCTTTTGTGCTGCTGTCATATAACAGTGAGTCATAGTAACGTGATCCTCATTTTAACATACCCTGAGAACTTCCCACAAGTCAATGGGAAACTCAGAAGGAAATGATACAATTCCGCATCACTCCTTGACACCTTCCTACTTCCTTTGCTTGTGGGAAGCTTGCAGAGAGATGTTAGTGGAGAAACGATGCACCCTCCACCAGCTTCTTTGAATTCACACTGGTCACTCGCCCACACTCCTTCAGTCCATCTTCCACTCAATAGCAGCCATTTACCTTCTGGTTAGGAAGGGAAGGTAGTAAAGAGGATAGAGGAAAGAAGAGAGAGAAAGAAGGAAGGAAGGAAGGAAGGAAGGAAGGAAGGAAGGAAGGAAGGAAGGAA